ATGCGTTTTTAAGTGATAGTATTGTAGATTCTAAAACACACATTGTAAACGGAAAATTCATAAGAAGAAGGAGAAAGAAGAGGTTTTTTGACTTATATAATTCAATCTTGGTTTTTTAAGAATACGTCAACGCTTAATTTTTTGAATGACAGCAAGGGTAGAAATCATGTCGACGAGGACGCCGTTTTTTCGTTTCTACTTCAAGGACGCATAACTTTATGCAAATTTGTTTAAAGAAAATGGTTAGTAAACATATCAAATGTTTTTTTTTTCATTTGCCAAATAACGCCTCCAAATTCTGTCCGCTAGACTAGAATACCACCTACTCTAGTAGAAAATTAAAAAAAAAAATAAAATTTAACATATTTCGATGGGTTATAACTTAAAAAATAGCATAATAAAATTTGTAATCGATATCTCAACTAGTTTTAGAGTTACAGCCTTCTTAAATGTAGTCGCTCAGTTCAATCAGCTTAATTAGTTTATTTTTAAACGCGTATTTCTCAAAACTACTAATTTCATATTTGCTTCAGTGATTACTCGGAGACAAATGTTTCGATCGCTATTAAAAAAAATCGAATTTTAGCGGACGAAAACACCGAAGAGTGGGGTTCTTAGCGCCATCAGATATTGCGCGTAACTCGAAAAATATTTATTTAATTTTTTTAACAATTTTATTGTGTATTCTTAAAATATATATAAATATACCATAAACACCATGAAAAATGCCAATAACCATCGGAATCATATAGCGAAGTATACAGTAACAAAATATCAATGAGTATCAATACTTTCGTTTTAAATGAAAGTGTTTACTTTGTAGGCATACATAAGCACATAAATTGTTCATGATTATATATTCAAATATACATACATGTATTTATTTAAACTATACTGATAAACTTTATGTCAATAAAACATGAAAAAGCAACAAGAATATAAAATACTTCTTAAAGCCAAAAAGAGACGGAGTGGCGCGAAGGCATTGATAAATTCGCCATTGAAAGTCTCCAAAACAGAAACTGATAAGACCGATTACAAACGAAGAACTATAACGATTTGCTAGCGGTTCTCAGCGAGATTGTCAGTTGTTTACGCCAAAAGTTAAATTTACGTTTCATGTGCGCGACTAGCGACTAGATTGCAAACAAATATTTTTGGCGCTCATTTGACAATTTGCGTTTTGCGTTTGCTACTTCTTTGCTTCGTGTTATATACATACATACATATGTATGTATTTTGACGCATTCAGAAGATCGAGCGCGACGAACGAAAGTTATGTTGCTGCTTAGGCTTCGTGTTGTTGTTTTTGCAGTCATCGAACAGGTAGTAACTTTGTTTTTGTACTTTTATTTTTTTATTTTTTAATTGCTTTAGCGGCCTTTGCAGTTTCTGTTTTGTTTTCGACGTTAATTCGTTACGAGTTTTTATTGCCTTTTATTTTTATTTTTATATACAAAATATTTCTGTTACTCTTATATTATTTTTTGAATGATTGCCAAAAAACGGGCGCGTTGATTGGTGACACAAAATATATTTGTGTATTTGCATGCATGTATGTGCTTGTACATATGTGTGTATTTAAAAACATAGTAGCTAGTGGCATAGCGGGCCGCAGTGACGGCCTCATTGGAGCAGATTGGGCAATAATTTTCAGATTTCCAAAACAGAAGCATCTTTGTGACAAACAACGGACATACAAGTGATGTTGTGTTCATAATAAAACAAATGTGTATGCATGTGTGCATGTGCTCATTGTGTGTGTTTATTAATGAATTATTTGGCGCGTCAACTGTACGCGACTGAGCGCTGAGTGCATTCAAATCGAATGAACTTTATATATTTTATATTGAATGTGGCGTCGAATGCAAATTAAATTCTTCATAAAACATAATTTAAATTCTGCCATTGACTTTGGCTGCACAAAATCAAGTAGAGTTTAATTCAATTTTTATTTTATTTTTTTTGTATGCAGTTTTGGTACTTTTGCTGGCGAATTTGTTTATTACATACCAAATTTAGAGTTGGAAAATTTAATTTTTTTTTATTATACATGTGTACGTTTGTATACACATATGTATAATTATGGTTAAAATTTATATTCATACATCATATACATATAGTACGGATACAACCTCCTCCTCTACATTTGAAAAACTATTTCGGGCCAAAATTTTGAAAATAAAAATATTTTTGATAGTTTCAACAACGAAAAAAGAATAATGTTTTAGTTTCCGCTATATACAAGCAAAAATTATTAAGTATGTACATATATATACCTTCTGCCTTATAATATACAACGTGTGTTAAATAAAACGGAATTACATAAAACATGGTGATTAATAGCTAAAATATAAAACTACAAAAATATTTTTAACTATTATAGCGACAGTGTAGCCCAGCAAGATTATGTAACATCTGTTGAAAAGCTACTTGCATCGATGGGTTAATAATTGTGTATACTTTGAGATGATAGTTATAAAAAAGTTGCTTAAGGGATTATATTCACAAATGTACATACATACATACATATGTATATATGCAGACATACTATTTGAGTATGTGCTCCCAAAATTTTAAGTTGGTCCTGCAAATAGTTTAGGAGATAAGAGTGTATTTGTAAGTATTCTTTAACTTGGTATAATTAGCACCCAAAACTTCAAACGCGTTTTTCTAAGTGCTGTTTTCAGAGTCGGTGTAAAAAATTTCTCCGAAGCGGCATTATCGAGCGACTTTTTTTCATTTTTAGATATATTTGCCAGGTAATGATAAGCTCTTTGATAATAATTTCGATTTGTAAACCACTCTGAAATGTAACATACAAAGATCTACTTTTTCTCATGAAGCCGATAACAATAATTTATTTATTGAATGAAATGCCTATTCAAAACAATTTCACGAAAACCGCAATTTTTATATTTTTAGAAGATAATTCCATAAGAAGTCTACTAAAGTTGTTAAGTGTATACATGTGGTACTTTGCTTGAAATCAATTTTTCAGTATCAAATGCTTCAAACGAGTTAAGCTATTTTTTATGAAATATTCTACTCTTTTCAAATAATTTTTAGATACAAGATGTCTTCAAATTTTAAAAAATTAATAAATTTGTAACCCTTAGCTACTTTTGTTCCCAAAAAATTAATTGTGTAATCAGTGGATAGTGCGAAGTAATACTTATTTTTAAACTGCTACATTTATGTGTATTAATTCATTCATACGCACTCCTTACACACAATACATACATACATATGTATGTGCATACAACTGTAAATAAGCGGCATGAACACTCAACACGCTCAATAAAATTGGCAACAGAGGCGAGCAAAACAAAACTAAAGAAATTAATAATAATAAACGTAAAGAAAATATGCATAGCATGGCGAATACTCTGACAAGTAGAATGTGACAAAATCATTTGCTATGCTGTCGCTTTCTACAAACGTACATACATTAGTACAATTGTATGTTTGTATGATGTGTACGATTCTTGCACTTCTTTCGATAGTTTGTTTGCGCTATGAAGGCCCGCCAAAAATGTCTTATTGACAAAATCTTTGGATAAGTGTGTGCGCGCGCCAAGTGTTGTGGCGGCGTGTTAAAGAACTACACACACACATGCAAGTGGTTGTAAAAAGGCTGAGCGATGTCCGGCAAGATTTTAAAGCGGGAAAAAATTCGGGCGCGAAAACCAAACATCGATAAAGACGTGTGTGTTGAAACATGTGCGTTTGCATTCGGATACAAAAGTATTTCACTACTTTACTCCTATAGCCGCCAAGTGTCATCAAAGGAGAGGCGAATACAAAAATACATATGTTGTATATGGGCGCACAAACAAAATATTTACGTTTGTGTGTGTTTGCAAGTGCGCGTTTTGTATTTGAAAATGAAAGGAGGACACCTGAACGCAGAAAGGCAACACAACTTGTCTCATACAAATGCGATTTTTGGCGCCTAAAAGAAAATGCAATGGACCTACATGGGCCGGGTAGGTTAGCTATGTATGCATCTAAGTATATATAAGTGCACATATTTAAATGTAATCTCAGTGCATGCACCTTGTGGGAAATGAAATTTTATCGAGTGCAGTGCAGTAAGTTGCCAAAGATATTAATGTAGCAGCAGATATATACAAACACAAATACATACATATTTATACATACATATGTAGAAAGAAATTCGGCGCTTAAAGTGAAATGATATTTCGGCTTCCTGATTTTCTTGATTTCTTAAGTTTTTAATAATATACATAAATATGTATTTTTAGTAATGTCAAGCTAAAATACCGATTGACAATTTGGTGCTTTCAAAATCTAGCTAGTTTTATTAAAGTTATGAATCAGAAGCATTACTAATATGTTTGAGAAATTGTTTTTTTTTTTCTTTTCTTGCAGATTAAAATAAAGCATTTTATTTGAACTACCAAAATTAATTAGAAGTAAAAATACATAAAGTTCATATAACGCATTGCATAATAGTTTATTTCTACATTTATTTAACATTTTGCCATTAATTGTGATCAGAAAATAAATATACTTGCGTATTTTATAAAAAAAAAATTATTATTAATAAATAATCTTATTTTTAAGAAAATGCGCATTAATAAATAAGAACGCAATAGAATCTCAAGTTAAAAAGCTGTTCCTACTTTAAGATTGTCGTGGCAACACTACATCTTTTGTTGCGTAACAGGGGTTGAAATGGAAAAATTTGTGCTAAATATACATATTTACTTAACAAGCAGTCAGCGCTCTGAAGTCTAATCGGAAATTATACGAACTACCTATTGTGCACTTCGCGCGTCCTTGCAAGGAAGTCGTTGTGCACAAGTAAAAGGAAATGGAAATAAATCAGGTGTTTGCAGAGTTGCCAAACAAACATAAGCAAGTTTGTAAAGTGGTGTAAAATTACCAAAATTTGAAAATGATATGTTTTTGCCATATCTATTATGTTAATAAGCTGTTTAGTATTCATTTTTTTTTTGTTTAATAAAACTTACCAGTGATTAGTGTCTGCGTAGTGTAGGGTTTGTAACGTGCTGCTTCGGTGACCGATTTGGTGTTGGCACGAACGGTATGGAGCGTTGGTGTTTTCTCAATCTGCTTCTGTCGCATGGTCAACGCATCATCATCGTCACTATTCTTAATTTGTTCAAGCTTCTCATTTGTATTTTTTTTATTTTCTTTTTTACACGCCTCCTCTACTTCCTTGGCAATCAGATCCGGTAGCGGTCGTTCATTGCTACTTGGCTCAATTTCACCAATGATTTTATAATTATTCAAACGTTTTAGTTGGCGGGCATTTTCAATGTCGAAATTACGCGCCATTTCATTTTGATCGGGTGGACCGAAGAGATTTCTACGCACGCCACCAGTCGGACGCTCTGGACGTGTCCTAGCGCTTTTATTACTGTGATACAGTATGGGATGAACTTGGCAGGGTGCCATTTCGTTTATTGATTTACACAAGATTTTTTCTCTTTCCGTATAACGTTGATAAAACATGCACAAATATCGTTTAAAATTAATTAATATATGTATATTTTTTCTTTTTCTTCTATCGTACTCTTGTAATTATATACGTTTTCACACTTTCCACTTGCTGTGAAAAATTCTCACAATATATAAATTTTCACTGCACTCAATTGCGTTTTTATGGCGGGTCGTTGTGCCTACAATGTTTGTTGCTATTACTATAATCGCCACTAAACACTTGCTGGTTCTAACTGCAATTGTAGTTATACTAATTTTACCACAATTGCTATAATTGGCGATTTGTAAAATAGTATGTATTTGAAAGCACACGCACTCATAGATATGCTATACACACATACATATGCGTTTAAAATCGTTAGAGAAAAATTGTGTAACACACTTTACCCGAAAACGGTTCAACAACGAATGAAAATTAATATTCCTATTGGCAGAACAATGGCGACCACTCAAACCAAATCAAGGCGAATTCATGCCATGAAACCATTTCAACATGTTGTACTCCGAGCTACAAGCAGCTATCTCGTTCACATTGCTTATACGATTCAGCGTACATACAGGGTTGCATGGAAACGTTCATCACACAATAGTTGGGTAAAATTCACCTATTGGATATGGTAAGTTTAAAGTTTTTGAAATATTCATTAAATTAGGAAATGTAAAATATTAATTTTTTAGAATAAAAACATTCCTATTGTACTTCAAAGCTAATTCATAATATCGAAATCACTTGAAATTCATAAGTTCATACAAAACAAAAACACCAGGGAAGTTGTATAACTAAGAAAATAAGCTCAAATATGGTACTTTAAAATGCATTTATTTTAATATTTATATGTAAAAACAGAATTTTCGGCCACTGAATATCCTCCAATAATACTGACACTATACTTGGTAGGTAGGTAAGTGGATGTCTGACGACGCACTTAGGCCTTTGACGCCCATTATGAAACCACCGGGCGACACTATACTATATGAGAACTGGTTTAGGAAAGTACTTTCATTTTTTTCCATTTTGCTTCAGAACTCTGTGAAATACGATTTTTGAGGTGAATTCTCTTATAAGTTTCATCGTCTCTAACTAAGATAGTAGCGATCGAAGTATGAACAATTTCAAGCGGGGAATGTCGAAAGTCGTCTCTTCACAAACTCTGCCGCAGCGAAAATATACGATATGCTGCTTTTCGATTCTTACGTTCTCTGTATATACACCACTCTCGCATTCTACGCTCTTAACAAAGTGAGTAGCTGCCCTGAAATGCAACCATTCATGTGCGCTCAGGCAAGTTGTGTGTGTAAACGGGACAAAAACAAGTTGCTCGTTCGAGCATGTTGTATGAGACATGTTGTGGCGATATGTTGTGACAACAAGTTTTGCGGCGTGCGACGTTTTTCATGCAACTTTAACGTTAGGGTAAACTTTGTAAACAATGCCGCCTTTGTTTTGATCGCGTATTTCGCATTTTTGCATGAGCACGTTATACGCTTTTTTGTTGCCTTATAAAAATTTGCAAACTCATAAAAAATGTTTTTTGTTTTCCTCTGTTCTTTCGCCAATTACCCAGTAGCAGCGCGCTAAGTACATACATACATATGGATATATGTTTGATGTGTGTGTACGTTTATTTGTACATAAGTGAGTTTGTATTTACATATAATTTAGCACATATGGCATGGCAACGCTTTCTTTGGTGTACCAATTTTGTTTTGTCAGCTTTTTTGGTAAGCGTTTTTTGCGCTTACGCGGTTTGTTGTGGCTACTCACGTGATTTCTCGTTCTTTATGAATATGCGGTTCTTGATAGCAGTTTGTTTATTTATAAATACTCATAAATTTATATGGAAGAAGGCGCGTTCATTGTCGGCACTAAGTGGAAATGAGTTGGTGCAGGTGAGTGTGTGAATTTTTTTTATCAATTAGAGACGCGAATTATGACGCAAATTTTTTAAAAACAAAAATCAATAGATTAAATTTCGGTTCAAGGTCAAGCGTTTAGAAAAGTATGATACAGTTTCGATAAGTTAAATAAATGCATACATAGTATATATGTATGGCCAAAGTTCCCTCTTAAAGTAATTTATATTTAGAGATCTATAAATAAAACAAATTTGTAAATTCACAAACGTCTATCCGATAATTTCAGCCACACACCCTACTTAGTCGACAGCCACCCTTCATCCACCCTTAATGTACGCCAGGTAGATAGTGTACGCATTCCAATCAGCGTCGTCATTGCACCAGCACCGCAGTTAGCACTCTTCCCTGTTGAGCTTAACCCTCGCGCCAAAATGTAGCGTCCTGGCGCAAAATACAAAAAAGAAAAGACGCACAAGCAAATTGGCTGCTGACACACACACTACGCAATTGTTTCCGATCCAATATGATAGTGTTAGTGCTCTTGCGATTTAGCAGAATATTTCTTTTATCCTGTGCACTCCTTTCACTTTGGCCTTTGTTCAGTCACTTTGCATGAACAATGAAATTTCAGCTTTCGATCGATTTCAGTGAATGTAGCAAAAAAAATTGAAATGTTTCTATTGAAGCGAGGACTTACATTCATAAAAATACGTAAAAACATACATACATGGATACCGAGTTATGTTTATAAATAGATACGTAGCTCGAGAAATTTACAGTATTGGTCGCTATTTGGTCATATATATATATAATATATATTTTTTTTATTCTTTTAATTGTAATTGGTGTACCGGCTCAAACAAAAGGAGCAAATGACGGAAATATTTCAATAAAATAAAATTTCTTATAGGACCTCCGAACAAAACTGCCTGGTGGTAAGGAAGATTATTCGGCTCAAATTTAATAACCAAAAAAATATTGTAGAGCAATATATTAAGGAGGTAATAATGAAATGGCTAATCAAAATTTTAAATTGTGACAAAATGACGGATTCCCAAAAAAAATCTTGTTTTGTGAAGAAATTTGCATTTCAGAGCAGCTTAAAAATTGAAATTATTATCAAAAATCTTATTCGCTCGAACTTTACTTGACACATATGTATATCTAAAAAGAAAACATCGTTTCGAGAAAAGCGAGTTTTTGCAGCCGATTACACTAGAAGTATATTCAAATATTCTTAGAAATACGATCATATGTCCGAAACTATTTATCGAATCAACTTCAAATTTTCACAGAACATTCATATGCACATTCGATATATACCATAAGTTTTTGCATATAAATAAAATCGATTTTTTGAAATTCACAAGTGGATATAACGCCTTAAGCTATCCTCTGGGAAATTTTCTAATAAATTTCATTGAACAAATTTCCAAAAATTATGGTTATAAGTTATATAATATTATATTCGGTTTGCTTTACTTATATCTATGACCAGCACTATAGGAAAGTTTCGTTGAGCGAGTTTCAAATAAAATAGATCATAATTTTTGCAGTTTGCTGCACAAGTAATGCCCGTAGAAATAGATTTAGTGCATACTAATAGAAACATATGTATGTGTGTGTGTGTATGAGTAACTGCACTGTATAGTACGTGCCGCTGGCGCACAGTTGGGGCTTTCATCGCCTTCCGGTTACGTTGTCTTTATTACGATTGTATATATGTGTATGTGTGTGTGTGTTTGTGAGTGCATTGGTGTAAATCGATGACAAAAAAGATCATTCATGGTTTTACGCCACATCCGAACACAGTGAGTAGTCTGCGAATGCATTTGGCTGACACCCGACTGTGCCATTGAAATGCTGTGGTGCCAGTGCAACAACAAAAACAACCGCATTAGTGACAAATGTACAGATAGTTCCATACAATGTGTATGTGCATATGTTTTTCTATCTCTTCTGACCGCCTCGCCGGTATGTGTGTGTCAGCAACAGCAGGAAAAATGCGAATGCCAAGCCAAAGAATACGCTTTCTATGAAGCCAGAAAGTGCAAAATCCGCAAAAACACAAAATCACGCGTTGCAATAAATGTGCAACTGCATTGTGGCACTCGAATTTGCCTGCACATACACACACACACACATATATATCGATGCACGCTCGAATGAAGTTGAGTTAATACACATGCGCACGGCTATCAGTTGCAAATTGCCACAACAGCAGTGGAAACAGCTGTTGAAATGGAAATGCAAGGAATGCTGGCGACTGTTCTTTTTTGCTCTTCGTTTTATTTTATTTTTTTGTTTGAAATCTGCTCACACTGTAATGAGTGAAGGGGACTTTGTGTGCTGCCTGTCAGGGATTTTAATTTGTTTCTATGCACGTTTGGCTAATTAATACACGCAGCACCACCATCACCAGCATCACCACCACCACCATCGTCCTCCTCACAACACTATCAGCACCCAGTAGCACCGTCAGTCGCACCGGGGTCGCCCGACGCGTGCTTCCGTCGCGTCTGTTTTAGCATTTGCACCCATTCGCCACTCACATAAAACGCAATTTATGTGAAAAGTAGACATGACTTTTTGTTGCAGCAGCAGCATTCTGGTGCAACTGTCGTTGGGAAATCGTCCATGTTGGCAGTGACAATGAATGCGACAGAAATATCAGACGCCAAGGAAAATGACAGCGCGCGACAACGTAATGCTAATGATGGCGTTGAGTGCACAATAATGATAATTATGGTATGCACTCGCAACGAAAATGGAAAATCAAAATATGTAGATGTGAAGCACATTGACTTTTGGTAAGTGATTTTTTCAGGATTTGAGTTGCACACGCTTTCTATTTGTGGAATTAATATAAAATTTATTTTTAGTAAAGGGAAATTTGTTTCCTTTTCAAACATATGTACATAGGTTTGTATGCATCTGGTATATCCATTATTTAAGCATTGGCAGGGTGTTATATCTATTGGTAGCAGATCGGTGAATGTGAAGAATTTTCTTACATCGCTCGTTCATTCATTCAGCGTCGAGTAATATCGCAATCATGTGCTTATTACATCAAATAACAAGAAAAACGTTTACTTCGTTTACACCGAAGCTTTAATACCCTTCAAAAAGGTATGCTTTTGATTGACATGATTTTTTCGATCAGTTTGTATGGCAGCTATATTCTATAATGGTCCGCTCTGAACAATTTGTTCGGAGATTAAACCATTTACTTGAAAAATAATCTACGCCAAATTTGGTAAAGATATTTCATTAAGGGGCACATCTAGGATCTGTGGCAGCCTAAAAAAACGTCGATTTTTGGAAATTAAAAAAACAAACCACTGTAGCGTTTGTTTTGAAATTTTCAGTGTAGATATAACGCTAAAAAAAAGGTCCCCTAATGCTGCAGTGATTCCAGCCTTCTCTGTGAATGAAACTTAAAAATAAAAAATCCTCGTTAAAGTAGAAGATATTCTGCGAACAAAAAAACAAAAAGATAAAAAGACGATCAAAAAAATCAAAAATTGGGAAAATGGCGGCATTTTAAAAAAAAGTTTACGTCAAGTTTTGGTCGTTTTTGACCTAGCAAAATTCGATCAAAAAACCGATAGGTTTGTATGTGGAGGTATATACAG